TACTGGACTTGAAAGATGCTTTTTTTAGCCTCCCCCTGGCACCCAAAAGCCAGAATATTTTCGCCTTCGAATGGTCAGATCCAGAGGAAGGCATTCACGGGCAACTAACTTGGACGAGACTACCACAAGGATTCAAGAACTCGCCCACAATCTTCGACAAAGCCTTACATGAGGACCTGGCTGAGTACCATATCCAACACCCACGGGTTACCTTGCTACAGTATGTAGACGACATTTTGTTGGCCACAGAATCCCAACAAACCTGTCTGGAGGCAACCAGAGACTTGCTGTATACTTTAGGTGAGTTGGGATATCAGGCCTCCGCAAAGAAAGCACAAATTGACAGACAAGAGGTTCATTACCTGGGATACATATTAAAAGAAGGACAGCGGTGGCTGTCCAAAGCTAGAAAAGAGACTGTGTTAAAGATCCCTAAGCCCCAGAGTCAATGCGGGATTAGAGAATTTCTGGGGTCCGCTGGATTCTGTAGATTATGGATCCCAGGTTTTGCTGAAATGGCAAGACCACTATACCAGGCAACAAAAGAGACTATACCATTTGCCTGGACAGAGGAAATGGATAAAGCCTTCCAGGACATTAAGGCAGCCCTCCTGTCAGCCCCTGCCCTAGGTCTGCCTGACATCACTAAGCCCTTCCTTCTCTATGTAGATGAGAGCAGAGGGGTAGCCAAAGGGGTGTTACTCCAGAAACTGGGACCTTGGAAAAGACCAGTGGCATATCTTTCAAAAAAACTGGACCCAGTGGCTAGTGGATGGCCTCCCTGCTTGCGTATGGTGGCTGCTGTGGCCTTGTTAGTAAAAGATGCTGGCAAATTAACCCTGGGACGAGAACTGCAAATAACAACCCCTCATGCCATAGAGGGTATATTGAGACAACCTCCAGATCGATGGATCAGTAACGCTAGACTGACCCATTACCAGGGACTACTACTAAACCCTACCAAGATCATTTTTCAGCCACCAGCTACCTTGAACCCAGCGTCACTCCTGCCGGATCCAGACCTTGACGCTCCACTCCATGACTGTGCTGACATCCTGGCTCAGGTATGTGAGGTCCGAGCTGATCTGAAAGAAGTTCCCCTTCCAGATACTGAACTGACTTGGTACATGGATGGGAGCAGCTTCATACAGAATGGACAAAGGTATACGGGTGCGGCTGTGACCACGAAGACAGAAGTCATATGGGCTGCCCCTTTGGCCCATGGGACATCGGCCCAAAAAGCCGAACTTATAGCATTGACTGAAGCCCTCAAAAGAGGTAGAAAAAAAAAAAAACCTGACCGTTTATACTGACAGCAGATACGCCTTTGCCACAGCACACATTCACGGGGCCATCTATAGATAGAGGGGGCTCCTGACGGCTGAAGGAAAAACTATAAAAAATAGACAATTCTTGAGCTTCTACAGGCCCTCTGGCTGCCCAAGAAACTGGCCATAGTCCACTGCCCAGGCCACCAAACAGGCGACTCCCCCGTGGCAAGGGGCAATCAACTGGCTGATCTTTCAGCCAGTTAGAGGCTGCTCTAACATCTGTTACCCCAGTTTTGGCAGCTCGACTCCCTGACCCAGGGACCATGACTCTACCCGATAACCCCGAATACAATGAAACAGATATAAAATAGATTAACTCCTTACCTATGACTCAATTTAAAAATGGCTGGTGGAAAGACGCTAAGTCAGCGCTTATCCTACCTGAAAAACTGGGGACAGAACAGCTCTGGAAAATTCATAATGCAACCCATTTAGGGGCGAAAAAAATGCAAGATCTTGTTAGAACTGCAAAGATTGTCATCAAAGACTACCGGGCGAAAATAGAAAAAATTGCCTCAGACTGTAAGGCTTGCCTGCTAACTAACCCAACAAAGACTTCAGGAGCAACCAAAGAAGCCAGAGAAAGGGGAAGACGCCCTCGAGCCTACTGGGAAGTAGACTTTACTGAGGTAAAACCAGGACAATACGGATATAGATACCTGCTGGTCTTCACTGATAGTTTTTCTGGATGGGTAGAGGCCTACCCAACGAAAAAACAGACAGCCCAGGTAGTAACAAAAAAACTCTCAGAAGAGATCCTGCCGCGTTTCGGATTCCCTACACAGGTAGGTTCCGATAACGGTCCCACCTTTGTCTCCAAGGTAAGTCAAGGACTGGCGGTGGTTCCGGGGACAAATTGGAAATTACATTGTGCCTATCGACACCAGAGTTCAGGGCAAGTAGAAAAAATGAACAGAACCTTAAAAGAGACCTTGACCAAATTAACCCTAGAGACTGGCGGGGATTAGGTGGCGCTCCTCCCCTTTGCCTTGTTTCGGGTACGGAACTCACCTTACCTGTTGGGGCTAACCCCCTCTGAAATTATGTTCGGGAGACCTCCCCCTATTGTACCTAGTTTAAAGACTGATTTAATAGCCGACTTGCCTGTTGATGCTCTGTTTTCCTCTCTCCGACTCCTCCAACAGGTGCCCAAAGACATTTGGAAGTGGCTAAAAGCCCTACACCTCACCAAGCCACCACCAGAACCGCATCGTTTCCAGCCAGGAGATTGGGTCTATGTGCGAAGACACCACTCAGGCACCCTCGAACCACGCTGGAAAGGACCCTACTCCGTCATCTTGGTCACACCAACAGCCCTCAAAGTAGACGGTATATCGACGTGGGTCCATTTCTCGCATGTGAGGCCTGCTGATCCTTTCATCGACATCCACGAGGTTCTGCCACAATGGAGAGTTTCCAAGCATCCGGACAATCCACTCAAGTTAAAACTTCAGAAACGCCCCAGAGAAGTATCTCCCTCTTAAGGTACTTTGTGCTCTGGGCAGCCATTCAAGGGCTTACCTCAGCCAATCCCCATCATCCGGTTAACATGACTTGGGTGGTCTACAACCCTGACACCGGAGAACTACTTAATTCGAGTTCCAACGTAGCCCCCAAAGGGACATGGTGGCCTGTATTGACCTTTGATTTATGCGTCCTGGCAGCCGACATTAAAGGCTTCCATGGTCCCAGTCAACTGAGTGACTTCATCGGGAGCCCTCAGTTTGGGACCCTCGGCCTTTTTGACTGGGCCTTCCAGGGAGACACACCATGCACAAAGCCAACACCCGTATATGTCTGTCCGGGGGGAGAAAGGGATCAGAACCAAATTGCAAAATGTGGGGGAGTTGATTCTTTTTATTGCGCTGCTTGGGGATGTGAAACTACAGGAACAGTCCATTGGCTCACCAATCCCGTCAAAGACCTCATTCAGGTAAGATTATCCCAAGATTTCCCACCATGTAAGACGCTGTCGTCTAAACCTGGACAATGTTTTCCATTACAGATAAAGTTCACTGATGAGGGAAAAAAGTTTACCAGGTGGGACGTAGGCAGAGCCTGGGGCCTGCGTCTTTATCAGACTGGATTTGATAATGGATTCCGGTTTGAGCTCAAATTACAGCTGGGACCACTCTATTTGGCCCCCAAGGTAGCTTTGGGACCAAACCAGGTGATAGCCCCAAAACCTTCTTCCCAGATGACAACCCCAAAACCTCTCTCCCAGAACCAAAGTCGGGATACTGGACCTACTCCACACACTCCCCCCACAGCTACCCCCATAGCTGACATGTCTCCCCCTCTACAGACCCCCTTATAAAAATGATCTCCTCAGCTTACCTTACCCTTAATGCCTCTCGTCCAGACTTAACAAATGGTTGCTGGCTCTGCTATAATATTAAGCCTCCTTATTATGAGGCAGTTGCTTTTTCTTCAGGATTCAATATGACTGCCGATGTCTCAGCCTGTAGATGGCAGCAACAACCTGGTGCGGGCCGCCTGACAGTAAGCTCCATTACGGGTATAGGCACCTGCATAGGAGCTATCCCCGAGACTTATCAACACCTATGTAATCACACAGTCTCTATGACTAACCTCACTAATTCCACTCACCAGTGGATCATCCCACCTGAAAATGGGTGGTGGGCTTGCTCCGCCGGACTAACTCCGTGTGCCCATCAGGCGGCACTAAAAACCTCCCAAGATTTCTGTGTCCTAGTCCACCTAATCCCCCGGCTGAACTATTACTCAGAAGAAGAACTGCAACCAAGGTTAGAGACTCCAGATCAGTATAGGTTAAAAAGAGAACCCGCCACTGCCCTCACTTTAACTGTCCTGTTGGGATTGGGGGCTATAGGAACTGGAAGTGGAATTGCTTGGAACTGCAGCCTTAACGCTCCAAGATAAACAGTATAACCAGCTAAGGGCTGCAATAGATGAAGATATTGAACAGCTCGAAAAATCCATTTCCCACCTCCAAAAATCCTTAAGTTCTCTGGCTGAGGTAGTGTTACAAAATAGAAGGGGTTTAGATCTGCTCTTCTTACAACAAGGAAGACTATGTGCAGCCCTAGGAGAAGAATGCTGTTTTTATATTGACCATTCAGGAGTAGTACAGAAATCTCTTCAAAAAGTTAGAGAAGGCCTAAGCAGGCGAAAACAAGAAAGAGAAAATGAACAATCATGGTTTGAGTCTTGGTTTAATACTTCCCCTTGGTTGACTACCCTGATTTCTTCTCTATTAGGACCCCTCATTCTACTGTTATTAATCTTAACTATAGGTCCCTGCATATTAAATAGAATTATGTCCTTTGTAAAAGATAGATTCAATACCGTTCACCTGATGTTACTCAGATCTCAGTATTCGACTGTCCCCACAGACGATATAGAAGACTCATGATTGGGCCTTCCATAGGAACAAAGAGAGGGGGAAATGTGAAAGAAAAATTCAAAATGACTCCATTTTAGATAGCACTGCCATTCTGAGTGAAAAACCCCTCCCGAGAAAAAGAAAAAAACTTTTTCAAACCAATCAGAAGGAGACCAGTTGCCCTCCACCCCTAGGCAATCTAAGAAGGGCGAGGAAAGTCTCTCACCCCACCCTCACCCCACCAAGACTTCCCGCTTCCCCTGCTGCACAGTATGAATTAACCAATCCCCTTAAGCTTCCCTTCCCGCTTCCCCTGCTATACAGTATAAAAAAGATTCGCCGGCTTTCACTCGGGGCTCCTTCGCCATTGTGTGAAGAGAGTTCCTGCTTGGGCTTGTAATAAAGTTCCTCACTGCTTTTGCATCAATCCGCGGCTCCTGTGGTGTTTGGTGAGATTCCGAGATCTGGGTACAACAAATGACATAGTGCAGTCAGAAGACAAAAAGCATGGTTTGAAAACAAAGAACAAATTTAAACAATGATTAGCGTAACTTTGTAATCCAGTTACAATAACTGAAAGACCAAAGCAGTCATAACTGATTCAATGAGCTATTAGCCGTTTCACTATACTGGCAGTTGTGTACCTACACATACCTGGCTTAATCCTTGAGACAAGCATATGCTACTGGCAGGATCAATCAGACAGAAAAAGGTAAGTATTTCAATTTCTCTCATAAAAGATACAATTTACCAAGTTACTGTAAGTCATAATTAGTTTAAGGAGAAAGTTTTTCATATACCTGGAGAACACATATTTAAACCAATAATCCTTTTAGATAGAAACCATAAAAATTACAACCATATTTACCAGTTTACTCAGTCTTATGTAACTAATCTTTTTTGTTAACAGCTTTGTAAAGTCATCAGGTTTCCCATTAGAATTCATCAATTTCTTTCTTCAGTGCAGCATTATGGTCTGAAAATCAGAAACTTGTATTTAAAGTTCTTTTTACAAATCTTGAGGAGACATTTTTGCAAAGGTATTACTGTGAAAGCATAACTGTCCACAAAGAAACCTTAAAAAAAAAAAAAAAAGAAACCTTAAAAAAGGCATAGCTGAAATTTCATTACAATGCAATTAACAAAGCAGTCCAACCACTGCTATGACACAACGCTTTCAGAAAATAACTACAATTGTGACTGACAACAATCTACCAGGATACATCAGATTCTCAGGAACTCCATACAATCTCTAGAATATCTGTACCATTTACCATATAACTTAAAAGTTTATTACCCATTTGAAAACACATCCCTTGTAGTTTAATAGACCAAGAGAAACTAATTTAAGTATCTCCCCTTGGTCACCTAACGGGCCCTTTGAAGCACCCCAAAAATTAGGAACTTTGTTATAATATGACTTGGGAAGCCCAGTCAAAGGAACAGCAAAAAAGACATTTTAAAATACAAATAGGACCATAGGTCACTGTGAAACTCAGCCAAAGTGACAATAAAAGATTTCAACAGCAAATATAGATTACTTAAAAGGTATATAAACTGAAAATCTGTTATCAAAGTCAGATTAGCATCTTCAGAAACCTGTCTTAACAGAGAGAAAAGTCAGATTTACATTTTGCACCAGCTTACTTTATAAGTTCATTTACTCCATTGTGTGTGCTAAGTTACTTCATTCATTTACTCCATTAAACTTGTTTTAAACTTAGTCAATCCTAACTGATAGTGTATAAAACCATCTGGGGGGTCCATTTTTTAAAAATATTTTATTTATTTATTTAGGCTGCGCTAGGTCTTAGTTGCAGCATGTGGGATCTAGCTCCCTGACCAGGGATCAAACCTGGGCCCCCTGCATAAAGAGCAGAGTCTTATCTGCTAGACTACCAGTGAAGTCCCCCCTTTGGGGTCCATTTTTCATAAACCTTTCATCACTTTATTTTAGTAAACTTTTAACTTTTAAGTTGTAGAATATCTGGAGAGATCTAAAACATATATTTCTAAAGGTTCACTCAAAAACTCTTATTTATGTATTTTTTTCAAAAGTTTCTTTACATTGAGTTATTTTCCTTGCTGACAAATTTGCTTATTTAGCTTATATTAAACCTAGGCACACTGAAAGTATTATACTTATTATTACATTTAATGTTGATAACTCAAGACATGCCTATCAGATCAACTGACTTAAACATGAATACTAGGTACTAATTTAATATTGAATATTTCCCAATTCACATGAAACTAAAATTTATGTAGCTTAATTTCTCTTGTGTTTAGAATCATTTGGTTTGTAAGTATTAACTTTTGTTTAAGCCAGTCACATAGAGCTCTTTTACATATCAACCGTGGCAATCTTACCCAAAGACAAAGACACATACAGACACACGAGGCCTCAGTTCTAATTTGAAGATTTCAATCCTGAGTCAGGTAGAGCAACGTAAAACCCATCAGTTTACAAAGAGGTTGGATTAACAGTTGGGTTTCTCACAGATGGAACAATTCAAGCTCACTTGACTAGACAGCTAAATATTTGCAGAAAAAGCATTTAAGATTTGTTTGCCTTGGATAGCCAATTTTTATTTCCCCATTTTAAAATTTGCATCTCAAAGATACAGGCAAGTTGTTCCTAGGAAAACTTTGTTTTCCTCTCCTTTCTGGAAAGAATTGAGTGGCCACCCCAATGAAACCAAAGGACTGACATAGCCATTCACCCATGCTAAAAAGCTTCATTCCTCCTCTTCTAGCCTAGGGTAGAAGGCCTCTCAGGAAGGCCCTGAAGTTAACACCCATGCTCCTGAAAATCTATCTAGACTGAAGGGGAAAAAGACAAAGGCAACAGGGAAGACATGCTGAGGAATCTGCCTTGTAATCTTGCCAAAGTGGCAGCCAGGGGGAAATGGGGTCAGCGTTTTGCTGGAACCAATATGTTCCTGAGTTGCTGGGAAGCGGTCTTGCTGGGGGCGGACATTAATTGCCTGGTCCGATCCACATCCCACTTATCCTATCATCGAGTCTTCAAGCGGCAGACTCCCCAATGGCTTTTAAGTGTCTGACCCGTAACCACATGGTATTAATTGGTCTGGTCCTCAGCTCAAGGGAGGAAGAGGAAAGGAGAGCCCTCATCTCCTGGGTGGCAGCTACTGGGGCACACTGTGTGGTGGACCTTTGGAATACACAGAAGAGTAACCCAGGCCAGAGTTCCTCAATTGCTTCCATAGCTACTCACCTGTTCGCAGAGGGTTCCAAGAGAAAGAAGCAAGAAATTTTAAAAGAAGCCTTTGAGGAAACAGTTAGTACCAGATGTCTGTGCATGACCAAAGTAACCAGAAGAAAACCAAAACCTAGCCAGTCAGAAAGTCACTATAATGTGACTTCCCAGACCCATTAGACCTGTGATCTTCCTCCAAAAGGTCAGTTTTCCTTCACAGGGGAAGCTCCCCAAACTGGAGCTGAAGCTCCCCACTGACAAATTTACCTGGAGCTCCTGTAGGGGAAATTAGAATTGGACATCTCAAGTCCAAGGGAATCCTCGGAGTTGTTCATTATCAGAGAGTTCCTCTCCTTTGCAAGGCACTTCTGTTTGATTATAATAAATGCACCCCAAAGAGTTTTCCTTCAAGAGAGATGAAATATTTCCCATTCGTTAAAATTGATAACACTAAAACACAAAAGACATAGGCAAATTTCAACACAAACAGCACAAATTGCATTGATGGACAGATGAATGGGTTGTCAATTCTGGTAAATAAATTTACCCTACAAAAATGTAGGGTAAGTAAGTCATTTCAGTCATGTCTGACTCTTTACAACTCCATGGACTGATGGTCCACCAGGCTCCTCTGTCCATGGGATTCTCCAGGCAAGAATACTGGAGTGGGGTGCCATTTCCTTCACCAGGGGACCTTCCCAATCCAGGGATCGAACCCGTTTCTCTTACATCCCCTGCATTGGTAGGTGGGTTCTTTATCACAAGCGCCACCTGGGAAGCCCCTACAAAAATGAACTCGTTCCAATTAGGGGAGGCTTACCCCCATAAGAACTAGTTTCCAATGAACCGGTTCCAACTGAAGTGGTCCACCACCTCCCACCAGAACAGGGTACCCCAATCAAACTGGCTTGTATCAAAGAGGAAAAAGCACAAATTGAGGGGGGAATATGTTCCTGGTGTGCAAACCAAAGCAATCTATCCTACAAAACTGAGGTCATCAATTCATAACACAAAAAGGGCACCCAAAACCACAAACAAATGAACCAGGTATCGAGTTGGGTAGATTTAGCCTAAAAATGCAGTTTTTCAGTTCCTTGTCTCAACTGCCAAGCACTGGGGCAGTTGGCACCATTTCAGGGAACCTCAAAATAGAGGTCCTCAAGACAAATGGTTCTGGCAGCTACTTTGGGCCTTATCTCAATACTCCTTGATAGGGGCTGGCTAGCCACGATCAGCAAGGCTTCTGGACTGGCTTGCTAAATTTGTTAGTCCAAGATCTCTCTGCTCGCCACATGAGAGGCCAATAAATCCAAGGGATGAGGTGTTCAGGCAAAGGCTACAACTTTATTTGGAAAGTCAGCTGACCAAGAAGATGGCAGACTAATAATCTCAAAATAACCATCTTGTCAGGGCATGCTGCCAGGTTCTTCTATGAATCAGAGATGAGTGAGATGAGGAAACAAAGTAAGAAGATAATTTAATTCTTGCAAGTATCTCCTAGAATGGCAAGCCTCAGGCAGGGCGAGGTATTAGTTCTTCCTTACAGTCATTCACAGGTGGGCAGGGTCAGATTATCTCTCTGTGAGCTAAACAAAGGCATTTTAGTTTAAGAGTCAGGAAGATGGGGCAGGATTCTCTGAGGCAGACCATTACATATGCTTATAACAAAAATAGCAAAAACAAGGCTTAAAGTCATAGATCAAGCATGAAGCCAAAATTAACCTTTCCTGGTTACAGGCTCTGGTTTACAAAGGTGAGATCTTTGGTTTTTTGGCCTCACCAGGCAGCTTGTGGTATCTTAGTTCCCCAACCAGGGATCAAACCTGGGACCCAGCAGTGAAAGTGTCAAGTCCTAACGACTGGACCACCAGAGAATTCCTTGTGAGATCTTTCTTAAGACCCTAGCATCTATCCACCTTGGGTTTCTGGGGTCTGTGAACACAAGAAAACTAAAATGGAAATCAAAGATTCCAGAGTTATATATCTCAAGCTGCTTACTGTTTCCAGAACTGTGCAATCAGGCACATTTCACAGTCTACAGAGAATTCTCACATATATACTCATTTGATCCTCATAATAATACAGAAAATTATGTATAATCATCCGATCACCATTTAACTGTTTTAAGACTATCAGTTTAATATGATATCCTTTATTCCTGTGTTTACCCATCATGACAAGAAAATCAGAACTACTGGGATATGCTTCAAGTTCAAACACTTATTCTCAAACATTTCAAATGTTACCTAACCATAGCGGCCTTCCCAGACCACTGGGTATAAAACTGCAACATAATCACTATAAAGCATGATATATTTTTACTGTTTATATATTTTATCATTTTTATAATATATATATATATATTTTTTTTCAATATACAATATTCTGTTTACTACTTGACTTTCCCCATGAGAATATAAGCTCCATGAAGGCAAGGATTTTATTCTTTTGTAATTACTACATTCCAATACCTAGAACTCTGCCTGAAACAGCAGGTACTCAATAAATATTTGTTGAACAAAAGCCTATTTTGCAACAGTGAGGAGCAAAGAGTTATGATGTATCTAAGGTCTCCCCTGGCAACAAAGGTCAAACCCTTCACTCTACATGGAGATAACAGGAGTTGGGGAGACCATCCCTTGAAAAGGAGGAGGCTCTTGTGACCCTGGACTAGGGGAAACTACCTACGGAAACAGCCAGGCGTCTGGAACAGTCCTGATCAACACTATCCAAGCCTAGTCTTGCTCTGACCCAGGGATCTAGTGTGTGGTCTTTGCCCCCCTCTCTACTTACTAATCCACAGGCCAGTGCTTGCTCAGGTAACAGGAAAGCAGCAAAGTCCTTCAACAGCTGAGGCCAGTCTTGAAGCAGAATTACAGGCTCTTATAGAGATCCACAGTTGTCTGCCTCTGAGTGCTTGACTCAAACTCATGGATGACCTGAAGGAAGTCTTCATACTTGTCAGGGATATGTTGCAGGGCTTCTCGGACCTATATGAGAGGACTTTTGATCATCCAATCTCCTTTCTTTGGGCCCTGACAAGAAACAATGGGAGCATGGAAGGAGGAGTTACTGTTAAAGAGCTCCAGATTATCCGTCAGAGGCTACTCCTCTGACAGATCCTGAGATCTGATGATTAATGGAAGCCACAGCGCCATGAGCAGCGCAGAGCTCTTTTTCTGACAGTGAGGAATGGAAAAATTTCCATTTTCCAGGGACCACAGTGCTACCTGCAAAATCAGGTAAACTTTTCTCTAGCTCACAGCCTGGACCTCTCCTTCCTGGTTTCACCTCCATGTTGAAATAGATAAGGAGTGCTTGGTACATATATTTCAGCATGGTATCATCTGAGGGTAAATAATACGTAAATTAGGAATGTTAGTAAAATATCAGGAGACAAGAAAAACCATGACAATCACTGCTAGGACTCCAGTTTGTTGGGAGTATAAAGGAACCAGGTGGTTACCAAAAGAATGAGATAGGGACCGCTGCCACAAACAGGCTGGTTCATGACTCTGAAGATCATCCTTCAGAGTCATCCTGACTCCTTCAGGTCATCCATGAGTTTGAGTCAAGCACTCTGAGGTCCACTTTCTGGTCAATGTACCAAATGTCTATTTTCTCCAGCCAAGGGCTCAGTTAAAGTCTTTATTAGCCTACCCTCCCACTGATGATGGTGGCTATCACCTTTCCTCAGTTTTGGGGCAACAGAGGGGTGGTATGCCTGGGCAGTAACAATAAATCTGTTGATGACTAAACTTGGTGTCCTTGTGGTTCACTCACACAGCCCTTTTGATATTTCTAGAAAAACAAAGGCAGAAGCATAGAAGGCTGTTGTGCAGCCTAAAAGGCAGACTTTATTTTAAAAACATCTCCCCTGAAGGAAAAGCAGTCTTGTTCAGAGGGGCTGGCAGGAAGAGGAAGCAGCATTTGCCTACCCTGGTCAGATAAGCCTGAGCAAAGGCCAAATATTTCTGTTCCTGGAGTGGATCTCGCTCGAGGATGTCCTCATCATACAGCCACAGCAGCTTGGAGGTGTCCTTGCTGGCCCGGGCCCGACTGCCCCGCTTGCTGCGAGCTCGATGATTACCCCGGCCCTTTCCTGCAGCTTTGATGCTCTCTCCTTAATACAGCTGTTTTTCTGTGCCTGCGCCCTCTGCTCTCCCCAACCCACCAGCGGCACCCCACCCCCATCCAAGCCCTATTCAAAACTACATAGTAACTTGGCAGAAAAGCTGCTGGAAAAATGCTAGGACAGGTGACATCTGTCCCTGTCAAAGCTCTGTGGAGAGTCGACAGCATGACTGCATTAACTGGGATAATAATGAGATGCTTAGCTACTGCATATTGAACACAGAAGTCTAAGTGTGGTCTGATGCTGGGCTCTCAAAGAACTATGTCCTGGTGAGGAACAAGCAGTACTTTCTGAAATAAACATTGCTCTTGGCCTCATATATGACTGATGAATTAAGAACCACTAGAAAACCCTACATGAACAGAGTAGATAGAAATCTAGCAGCTGATGAGAGACAAATTTTTAATTTCTGAGAATCTCTTCTCTGCAATGGCAGCAGGTTAAACATCTATTTGGGAGTAGGGAGACTGGCAGGTGGGATCCAAAGGATTTCTTCTGGAAACTGGCACCTGTTTTATAAACCTGTCACTCTGCACATGTCCCTGAGTCAATGAGGCCTCCTGAGACTTGTCCCCACTCAGACATGTCCTACTCACCCAGTGGGGTCCTGCTGGTGTCTACTTCTGGAGCAGCCTTCGGGGAGGCACAGGTAACAGGTGGCTTCTCGGCAGGGTCTCCAATGGCTTCGTCCATCATTTCATCCTCTGTCTGCAGGATTTCCATTCCTTCTGCCTCTTCCTACTCTTCTTTCCCAGGCTGAGTTCTCTTCCTGGGAGTTCTCTTCCTCAGACTCACCCTCCTGACTCATGTACTTTTCAGATGTGAACCAAGTCAGTTTCTCCATCGTTTCCTGAAAAACCCCCAAACAGTACGCATGAGGGATATAATGGCTCACCATGGGCTACTTATAGAGTTTTTCAGAAGGAATTGAGGTTAATTAATTGGTGAGGGAGGTTGGAAGCCAATGGGTTTTTTTCCGGGGATTTTGGAGTTGTTGTTTTTTTTTCTCTCTCCTTTTCTTTTCATTTTTTTGACCACGCTGTGCAGCTTAAGAGATGTAAGTTCCCTGACCAGGGACTGATGCCAGGCCCCAGCAGTGAAAGTGGCAAGTCCTAATCACTAGGCCATCAGGGAATTCCTGAGCAGATGTGTTTTGAAACATCTCCCTGAAGATAATTGTCCTTTGCCAGGGTCCATGCTTATGATCCTTTTTCTTTTTTGTGGTTATTTACATTGTGCTCAGGTGATTCAATATAATGTAAATGAGTTTAAATCAAATATAATAAGGAACATTTAACTCTTTCCCTCTCCTCTCACCAAAGACAAAAATGATTTTAGGACTATCTCTAGTGCAAAAAGCAAGCAGGTGGCCTATCAATAAATTAAATCTATTACTGAATCCACAAAATATTGAAGAATATTGCCCAAGTCTCACCTGGAGTTCTGGGACAGACGGCACAGATTCCTTAGAAGTTGATGACATCTCATCTTCCTCATCCTGGGTAAGGTCGTCAAAGTCCTCTTCTTCCTCTGGCCCATCCTTCTCCCTGTAGTTTCTGGCCCAGCTGGGTCCCACTGACTGACCATCAACTCTGGATAAGTCTTCAGGTTTCCTTGGAGAAGGAAGCCCCCCTTCCTTGGGGGGCTACCATTTCAGGGTCAGTGGAGGATGAAGTATCCCTTGGGAACCTTTTGGTTACATCTCTTGAATTTCCTCCATCAGGAGGCTCATGAGAAGCTGAAAGGATTTTATTAGGTTAATGAAAAAGTAATTGTGGTTTCAGACTGTAAATTGTAAATGATTATAATTAGGCTCAAACACACCTTTATTAATCAAAATATGAACCACTACAATCAACACATTTTTGCCAATGACAAATATGTTTGGTTATTCTTGTAGCATAACAATTCATGCTTCAGGAGTAGAACTCTTGGAAAGCATTTTGTGCCTCCTGCTGGTTATGGAAGCATTTTTCCTGCAAAATGTTATTGAGATGCTTGAAAAAGTGGCAGTCGGTTGGTGAGAGGTTAGGGGAATATGGCATATGAGGCAAAACTTCATAGCCCAATTCGTTCAGCTTTTGAAGGGTTGGTTGTTCGATGTGCAGTCAGGCACTGTCATGGAGAAGAATTGGGCCCTGTTGAACTATGCTGACTGCAGGCATTGCAGTTTTTGGTGCATCGTGCTGATTTGATGACATACTTCTCAGATGTAACAGTTTCGTTGGGATACAGAAAGCTGTAGTGGATCAGATGGGCAACAGACCACCAAACAGTGACCATGGCCTTTTTTGGGTGCAATTTTAGCTCTAGGAAGTGTTTTGGAGCTTCTTCTTAGTCCAACCACTGAGCTGGTCCTCATTGGTTGTCATATAAAATCCACTTTTCATTACATGTCACAGTCCAATCAAGAAATGGTTCATTGTTGTTGCACACAGTAAGAGAAGGCGACACTTCAAAATGACAATATTTTTGATTTGTGGTCAGTTCATGAGATACCCACTTACTGAGCTTTCCACTGTTCCAATTTGCTTCAAATGTCATACAACTATAGAATGACTGAAGTTGAATTCTTTGGTAACTTCTCCTATAGCTCTAAGATTAGTTTCAATGATTGCTCTCCACTGGTTGTTGTCAACTTCTGATGGCTGGCCACTACACTTCTCATCTTCAAAGCTCTCATCTCCTTTGCAAAACTTCTTGAACCACCACTGCACTGTACATTCATTAATTCCTGGGCCAAATGCATTGTTGATATTGTGAGTTGTCTCCACTGCTTTTCCACCCATTTCAAACTCAAATAACAATTTGCTTTTTGACTAACATCATTTCCTAGTCTAAGATAAACATAAAATCCACAGCAAGTAATGTCATTAGCAAAAAACATAAAACAAGAAATGCAGGTTAAAATGATGTATAAAAATACGCACATTTATTTAAGAATGTATTCCAATATCAAACAGCAAAGTTCAACAATATGAAAGTGCAATTAGTTTTGCACCAACCTAATAGCTGGATCGGAGGAGGCAATGGCACCCCACTCCAGTACTCTTGCCTGGAAAATCCCATAGACGGAGGAGCCTGGTGGGCTGCAGTCCATGGGGTCGCACAGAGTCAGACACGACTGAAGCGACTTAGCAGCAACACCAGCAATAGCTGGATGACACCTCCTCCTGTTGTAGGCCTGTTCCTTCCCCTCTCTAGACCCTCTTGACTCCTTATTTGGGAAGCCAGTGTCCAACTCCACAGAGTGTTCTTCTTTGATTTCATCATGGCTGTCCTGCTCCAGGGATCCACCACAGGTGTCTTGCCCAGGGTCTTTAGGTTCCATCTTAACGGTTTCCTCTAAATCCTCAGGGCGAGTGTGCAGAGATTCCCGGAAGCCCTGAGGCAGTGGTTCAGGGCCCGGCCTCCCCTCCTCTGCTTTCACAATAGTTCAGCCACAGGCACTGCTCTCCGACAGCTGCTCCTGGCACGCTCGGTCTGTAGCTGGAGGCCCTGGGCTGTGCTCCTCTTTGGGGAAGACAGCAGCACAGACAGGAGACGGTTCCCGAGGTTCTAATTTGGGTTCGAGGCCTTGAAAGGCATTTTTCCCCTCAGCCAAAGGACAACCTGTGTCCACATTCACTGGGGCTTTATCTTCAGGGGTGGATGGTACAGAAAGATTCACAGAGGTGCCAGAGACAATTAAGGGAGGGATGGAGGAGGCCACAAGGGGCTGGTTCAATGCACAGGGGAAGGCAGTGGGGTTAACCAGCAGGGTGGTGATGGGGATGGTCTGAGGACTTCAGGCCACAGCTGCACTGACAGGCTGCACCATGTTGCAGCCGCTGCCGAGGCTCACAACCTTCACGGTTGTGGCAGGAACAGTGAAGAACACAGGCGCAGGGTGGATGAGAGGGGCGGGCTTCAGACAGAGAGAGGCCTTGGGTCCCTTTCTCTTGGAGGCTCTCCGTTTCACACATGGCTTTTGAAACTCAGAAGGAGCAAGTGAGGGCAGCATCACCTTGGACACAGGGGCGGAGCAGAGCTGTTGGTGGTGGTGGCAGTGGCAGCAATGGGAGGGTGCAGAGTGACATATAGTTCAGTCTGAGGAGTCAGTGAGGCACCTGAGCTAAGAATTCCTAGAGGCAGCTGACTTCAGTACTCTGGGCCTCTGAAGAGAAATCTGGACCAAAGACACAGATCTGAAAATCATGAAGAGACAGAACACCAACAATCATGAGTCTGGGGGAGACCCCATGCTGCAAAACTACTGTGTAACATGGACATTTAAGGGCAGAGTTCACGAGAGAGCAGCCCGAGATAAGAGTCCTAGTATCATAGTAGATAGGAGTATAGTTTTAAAACCAGACCTATAATTTTCTGAAGTAAAGTTTATCAAGTACCTGGTATAATTAGTAAAACTAGACACACAGAAAGGCATATTATCTTGAAATTTCAAAACACTGAAGAAATAGGAAAAATCCTACGTACTGCCGGAGAGAGAGAAAAAAATCACGTGTCATAAAAAGGTTCAGTAGTCAAAAGGGCATCAAATTTCTAAAGAGCCACTGCTAGAAACTAGAAGAAAATGGAGTCCTTAAAGTGTTCTGATAAAAGTGATTTTCAACCTAGAATGTTAGACCCACTGATGTGGGAGAACAGACATACAGACATAGTTCAAACATCTAATTTTGAGTAAATATAGATTCATAGACAGGTCTTATGTACACTTGTTACACAGTAACAGTAGTTACATATACAAACCAGGTATACAGTACAATAGCAAAACTAGGAAATTATAATATGGGTCATGTCATGTCATAATACATGATGAATACAAGCAGTTTAAATCTAAAAATTTGTTTCTCAAGCACTCTACCTCAGAATGCTACTAGGATGTGCTCCACTAAAACAAGGGAAAAGAGATGTGGGGTTAAAGAAATAAGAGCATCTGGACTTCCCTGGTGGTCCAAAGGTTAAGAACCTGCCTGACAGTGCAGAAGACACAGGTATGATCCCTACTTCTGGAACATTCCACATGTCACAGGGCAACTAAGCCCATTCACCAAAACTACTGAGTTCGTGTTCCAGAACCAATACACTGCAACTACTGAAGCCTGAGCAGCCTAGAGCCCGTACTCCACAACAAGAGAGGCCATCACAATGAGAAACCCATCAGTTCAGTTCAGTTTAGTCGCTCAGTCGTGTCCGACTCTTTGCGACCTCATGAATCGCAGCACGCCAGGCCTCCCTGTCCATCACAAACTCCTGGAGTGTACTCAAACATGTCCATCGCATCAGTGATGCCATCCAGCCATCTCATCCTCTGTCATCCCCTTCTCCTACCCCCAATCCCTCCCAGCATCAGGGTATTTTCCAATGAGTCAACTCTTTGCATCAGGTGGCGAAAGTATTGGAGTTTCAGCTTCAGCATCAGTCCTTCCAATGAGCACCCAGGACTAATCTGCTTTAGGATGAACTGGTTGGATCTCCTTGCAGTCCAAGGAACTCTCAAGAGTCTTCTCCAACACCACAGTTCAAAAGCATCAATTCTTCAGTGCTCAGCTTTCTTCACAGTCCAACTCTCACATCCATACATGACTACTGGAAAAACCATAGCCTTGACTAGATGGACCTTTGTTGGCAAAGTAATGTCTCTGCTTTTTAATATGCTGTCTAGGTTGGTCATAACTTTCCTTCTAAGGAGTAAGCGTCTTTTAATTTCA